AGGTCTCTGCTTCTTTTGAGCGACGGCTCTCTGCTGCGGTTCTCTTCGAACTCATGTCCTGGCTGGGAGCGTCTCTCTCCCACGGGGTATTTATGCTTTAAGCCAGGCGTGCAAAGGCAGCACCGTCACTGCAGGAACTCGCCCATCCTGCTTTATTGTTGGGGCAGCGGTGCGTGGATGTCAAAAAATCCTCCTCCACCTCCTCCACCTCCTCCTCCTCCACCTCCTCCACCTCCTCCTCCTCCTCCTCCTCCTCCTCCCCCTTCCCCTCCTCCTCCTCCTCCTCCTCCTCCTCGAGAACTGGGGATTGTGGAGTACTTCGCCTTTCGAAGGGTGTTTTCGTATAGTTTGTGTTCGTGGAGTGTTCGAACATTAGTATTATTAGTATTATTAATAGTATTATTATTCATGTATTATTCTTCGTAGTATTAGTCGTATTCCCTCTCCTCCCCCTCCTCCCACTCTTCCTCTTTCTCCCTCTTCCCCTACTTTTCCTCATCATCATTCTCTCTCCTCCTCCTCCTTCCCCAGAATCGAGCTTTCTTCTTTTCCTGCACCCCCCCCCCCCTCCCAAACCAAAAAAAAGAACACAAGAAACGCGGCGCGGCCTCCCGTTTTATGTTGGAGAGGGGCAGGAGAAGAAACATAAATGATTATGGGGGAAGGCGCAGGAGCGGGAGGAGGAGGAGGAGGCAGAGGAGGAGGAGAGGGAGGCCCCAGATGTGTTTTCTTCGCCTGCCCCCCCCCCCCAAAAAAAAAACATATATATATATATAATATATATATATATATATATATCTATATATATATATATATATAATATATATGTTTTTTTGTTTTGGGGGGGCGACGAAAAAATAATAATCCGACGTGGCCTCATCTTCCATCACCTCTGGAAGGATTCCTATTGAAAGCCCCACAAGAAGGGTTCACAGTGAAATCCTCCACAGGAGGATTCCGATCGAAACCCTCCACATAAGGATTGCTATTGAAATCCCCCACATGTTGGTTCACATTGGAATCACCTGCAGAAGGATTGCGATTGAGATGCTTCGTGAGAAAGAATCCACCCGTTGGCATTGCATTGGCATTGGTTTGGAAATGGTTTGGCATTGCGCCGGAATTGTGCTATGCAGTGCGTTGGCATTGCGATGGCACTTCGTAAGCATGTCGTTGGCGAATCCTGATGGGACCCTCCACAGAAGGACTCCCACTGAAACCCCTTACAAGAAGGACGCCTATTGAAACCCTCCACAAAAAGGGTTCATCTTGAAATCCTCCACAGAAGGATTCCAGGCGAAGCCCTCCACTGAAGGATTCCTATTCAAATCTACCACGAAGGATTTCCCCAGTTGGCATTGCATTGGCATTGGCTTGGGATCGCCTTGGCATTGCGCTGGCATTGCATTGGCACTGGTTCGGCATTGCTCTGGCATTCCGCTGGCGATTCCTAATTACTCCATTCGCAGAAGGATTTATATTGAAACCCTCCACAAAAGGATTCCTATTCAAATCTACCACAGAGGATTGCCCCAATTGGCATTGGATTGGGATCGCCATGGCATTGGTTTTGCATTGCGTCGGCACTGCGTTGGCATTGCGCTGGCGAGTCCCGGACGCTCCACAGGAAAAATGTTTTATTGATCCGCCCCAACAAGAAAGATGCCTAGTGACCCCCCCCAACCCCGCCCCCCATAAACACAAGAAGGATTCAAGCTGAAGTCCTCCACAGAAGGATTGCATTCGAAGCCAGTCACAGAAGGATTCCGATTGAAATCCTGCGAACATGGGTTCGCAATGACGTCATCCCAGAAGGATTCTCATTGAAATACACCAAGCGAGGATGCCCCCAATTGGCATTGGTTTAACATTGTGTTGTTATTGCGTCGGAAGTGCGCTGGCATTGCGCTGGCGAGTCCTAATGCCTCCCTTCGCAGAAGGATTCCCATAGCAACCCCCAGAAGAAGGACTCATTGAAATCCACCGCAAATTGTTGCCCCCAAGCACATTACATTGCCATCGGATTCGGGTCGCCTTGGCATTGACTAGGCATTGCGTTGGCAATGTTTCAGCATTGCGCTGGCTTTGCGTTGGCAAGTCCTAATGCCGAAGGATTCCTATTGTAACCGTCCACAAAAAGGATTCCTATTGAAATCTACCACAAAGGATTGTCCCCATTGGCATTGGATTGGGGTCGCCTTGGCATTGTGCTGGCTGGCATTGAGTCAACACTACTTCAGCATTGCGCTGGCGAGTCCTAAAACGTTCCTTCGCAGAAGGATTCCTAGTGAAGCCCTCCGCAAAGAGGATTCCTTTCGAAATCCACCACAAAGGATTGCCCCCAACGACATTGCATTGGCATCGGATTTGGGATCGCATTGGCATTGCGCTGGCATTGGGTTGGCATTGCACTGGACGCTCCACAGGAAAATTATTAATCCGCCCCAACAAGAAAGATGCCTTAGTGACCTCCCCACTCCCCCACACACACTCAAGAAGCATTCAAATTGAAATCCTCCGCAGAAGGATTGGATTCGAAGCCCTTCACAGAAGGATTTCTATCGAAATCCTCTGGACATGGGTTCGCAATGACATCATCCCAGAAGGATTCTCATTAAAATACACCAAGAGAGGATGCCCCAAATTGGCATTGGTTTAACATTGTGTTGGCATTGCGTCGGCACTGCCTTGGCGTTGCGCTGGCGAGTCCCGGACGCTCCAGAGGAAAATTCTTGTTAATCCGCCCCAACAAGGAAGATGCCTAGTGACCCCCCCCCACACACAAACACACAAGAAGGATCCAAATTGAAATCCTCCACAGAATGATTGCATTCGAAGCCCTTCACAGAAGGATCCCGATTGAAATCCTCCGAACACGGGTTCGCAATGACGTCATCCCAGAAGGATACTCGTTGAAATACACCAAGCGAGGATGCCCCCAATTGGCATTGGTTTAACATTGTGTTGTTATTGCGTCGGAAGTGCGCTGGCATTGCGCTGGCGAGTCCTAATGCCTCCCTTCGCAGAAGGATGGCCATTACAACCCACAGAAGAAGGATTCTCATTGGAATCCACCACAAATTGTTGCCCCCAAGAACATTACATTGCCATCGGATTCGGATCGCCTTGGCTTTGATTTGGCATTGCGTTGGCACCGTTTGAGTATTGCGATGGCAGTGTGCTGGCAAGTCTGAATGCCTCCCTTCGCAGAAGGATTCCTTTTGCAACCCTCCACAAAAAGGATTCCTGTTGAAATCTACCACAGGATTGCCCCCATGTGCATTGGATTTGGGTCGCCTTGGCATTGCGTTGGCACTGCTTTAGCATTGCGCTGGCGAGTCCTGATGCCTCCCTTCGCAGAAGGATTCCGATTGAAACCATCCGCACGAAGGATTCCTTTTGAAATCTACCGCAAAGAATTGCCCCCAACGACGTTGCATTGGCATCGGATTTGGGATCGCATTGGCATGGCACGGGCATTATGTTGGCACTGCTTTGGCATTGCGTTGGCATTGTGCTGGCGAGTTCGAATGCCTCCCTTCGCAGAAGGATTCCTATTGCAACCCCCAGGAGGATTCTTATTGAAATCTACCACAAAGGATTGCCCCCATTGGCATAGCATTGGCATTGGATTGGGGTCGCTTTGGCATTGGTTTGGCATTGCGCAGGCACTGCTTTAGCATTGCGCTGGCGACTCCTAAAGCCTCCCTTAGCATTCCTATTGAAACCCTCCGCAAAAAGGATTCCTTTTGAAATCAGCCGCAAAGGATTGCCCCCAACGACATCGCATTGGCATCGGATTTGAGATCGCATTGGCATTGCGTTGGCATTGCATTGGCACTGCTTTGGCATTGCGTTGGCATTGTGCTGGCGAGTTCGAATGCCCCTCTTCGCAGAAGGATCCCTATTGCAACCACAAGAAGGAGTCTGATTGAAATCTACCACAAAGGAGCATGGTTCTTCAAGTTCCAGCCCCATGCCGTTTGGTACGGGGGGTGAGTTTCGAAGACCATGCTCGAGGGGGCATTCTTGTTTTTGAAGAGGCTGGCAGAATAACGGTACAGCTCAAGGAAGGAGTGCACATATATATATATATATATATATATGTATATATATGTGTGTATTCATAGAGAGAGGTAAGATAAGGATTCATGTGCAGGCTCGTGAACACCCTCTGGAACATTGAGGCACTCCACAATCCCCCGGCCTCTCCTCCTCCTCCTCCTGCTCCTCCTCCTCCCCCTCCTCCTCCTCCCCCTCCACAATTACACAATATGAGAATACTCTCCCACTTCCCCTGATGGCGTCCCGAAGATGGCCGACCCCCCCCCGCGTATTGTTTTTTACACACAGGATTCCCGGGAAACGGGTTTTCGCTTGCGTTTTTTTCAAAATGCTGCTCTCGCTGAGGCGCCGGCTTCAATTCTGCTCCCGAATCGTTCCGAATCGTGCTCCCGCTGCAGCGTGGGCCTCATTTTCGGATCGGTGTTTGGCCTCCGTCGTTCAGGATGGCGTTCTCGCCCCAGCGCGGGCCTCTTTCTCGCGCGCCCATCCGCCCGCCACCACCGCGCCGCACCACCACCACCACCACCACCACCACCACCACCACCACCACCACACCACCACCACCACCACCACCACCACCACCACCACCACCACCACCACCACCACCACCACCACAACCACGCACACACGCACGCACGCACGCACGCGCACCACCACCCACTACGCACGCGCGCGCGGAGCCACAGGTCCGCTACGACACGCGTCCGCGGATAGAGAAAATCAGCGCCATGGTAAGGGATGGGAGGGAGGGGTAGGACGTCAGATATGACGCGAGCGCACCTAGCTTGTCCTCCTCCCCCTCCCCCTCCTCCCCCTCCGCCTCCTCCCCCTTTCCCCGGGCACCGCCTGGGCACCCGCCGCTCGCCGCTTGCCGCGCACGGTGGCGCCCGGGGCGGCGCCCGGGGCGCCGAGACCGCGGGGGAGGGGCCGACCAGGAGCGCCGCCGGCTCTCCCGAGGAGAAGGCGCGCCCGCGCCCGCCCGCCCCGGCCGCCCCGGCGCGGCCCGGCCTCCAGAGATCTTCGGGGGCGGAAAAGAAGGGGGTGATGACTAGGGGGGGGGTGGATCCCATGGCGTGGGCCATGATATTTCCCCTGATTTCATGGCGCCTCTTCTTATTTCATTACGTCCCTGGCCCCCCCGCTGGGCCGCGCACATGCCGTCGGTCATGATTTGCACCCCCCCCTTTTGGACGCCCCCCTCTTGGCCGCTCCCGAGATCTCGGGGGGGGGCCAGGAAGAGGATCGGGAGACGAAAAATGGCATAAACATCAAAACTCGGAGGTCCGCGCGGATGTCTCGGAGCCGCGCTGGAGCCCCCTGGTGGCGCCTCCGGCGCCGCCCCTGGCGCGCTCCGCGCGCCAGGGAGGGGGGTCCAGCGCGGATCCAAGAAATCCGCGCGGACCTCGGAGTTTTTCTGTTTATGCCATTTTTCGTTCCCCTAGAGGATAAGGGTCGGCCTCACCGACCCCTGGCAAGCCGTCCCCTTTCTGTGGCGTCCCCCTCGCCTCGCCCCAAGGCGCATGTATGCAGCCGGGGGTGAGCTCGAAAGCCATCGGTGACGTATGGTGACGTTACAGAAGGGGATGGTTTGCCAGGGGTCGGTTGGGACGCGCCCGAGAGGAGGGGGGGGGACAGGGGAGAAGGAGGACGGAGCAGGAGAAGGATGACAAGCGCACGGCTTCGGGAAGGGTTCGACTTGGCTGTGGCGACTCGAGCGCTTGCTGCTTGCCTGATGGGGATCCGGGCTTGGCTCACCACTTGGCGAACGAGCGAGCCGGAGGAAGCTGGGGGGAGGCCAGAGGAGGTCGGCGGGAGACCGGAGAAGGAGCCACCGCGCCCCAGCGTGGCCCAGCCTCTGGAGATCTTCAGGGGCAAAGATTGGGGAGATAGGCACAGAGGGGGATGCATCGACCCCCAATCGCCCATTGATCGTCGATAGGGGCCCAATAGCCCCACCCTGCCCAGTAAGATGCGGATTCGTTTGCTAGGGCATATCGCCGACCTGTCGGCGATGTATTGCCGATTCCAGGTGGATGTTTCCTCCCTATGCCAGTCTCCCCCTATCGTTGCCCCTCACCTCGGGAGATCTCGGCCCAGCCCAGAGCATCCGCGACCAGAAATGACACCGTAACGGATTTCGGGCGCGCCAGAGTTCGGTCGCGACCGGAGGGGGTCGAATTTCGGCAGCGACGAGTGGCGCGTCGCGGTCCAAGCGAGGGTTTCGCAGACGTCGACGGCTCGCTCGTCACCAGAATTCGTGACCAGAGCTCGGATTTGGGTCGCGACCAGTTCGTCCAGAGCGTCACCAGAAGTTCTCAGTAACGGACGATCGAGGGGGATGGCAAGAGGGGGCTGACAATTCGGGGGGATAGCATGGCCAGAGCCATGATACCTCTCCTCGTGTTAGTATGACCTTTTATTATTATTCTTGTTCGTATTCTCATTCTTCGTATTAGAATTACTCAGTAATATTCTTTTCGTATTCGTAATATTAGTAGCATGCTTATCCTTTGTAGCATTGTTAGTAGTATTGTTAGCCTCCTTACTCTTACCATTATTAGTCGTCTTCTTCTTATGATTATAATGATTGATGTTTCTTTCAACACGTCCCCTGGTCCCCCCCCCGTCCGCGCCCATGCCTCCGACCATCATTTGCGACCCCCTGTTGGACGCCCCCCTCCCCGGACGCCCCCGAAGACCAGCGGAGGACCCTTGGAGACCACGGCGGCCTGGCGCGTTTCGTTTCTCATTGGCCCACCGGAGGTCGGCCACGCGCAGAGGGGGGGCGTAGGGGGGGGGGGGGGAAGGCGTCTTAGAAGCCTTCTAAGAAGCCTTTCCCCCCTCCCCCTGCCCCCCTCTGCGCGCCGCCATGGCCTACTGGAGATTCCTGGGGGTTTTGCTGCCTCGGGATGCCTCCAGCAGCTGCGCCTCGCCGAGAGCGTTCCGGGGGTCTGCCCGACGCGTCCTGGGCGGCCGCCGGAGACTCAGAGACCCGAGCGATGTCGCGAAAGCCAGGTGGTAACTCCGAAAAGGGCCACTCGAGATAACGGCGGCCCTCCGAGGTGTCGTTCGCCCTTTCTCAGACATCCTGGAGGCTGCTCGTCGCCACGGCGGGGTCGCCTCGATCAGGCTTGGACCCCAGTCGGGCTCCGGGGGCCAGTTTTGATAGGACTTGGGCAGGGCGGGAGAGCCGCCGTTGCCTCCAGGGGCCCGCCTCCGAGGAGCATGGGCTCGTGGGAGCACAGCGATCGGATCACAGCGACGGGCCTGCTCGCGGGGACCCTCTGGGAGGTTCAGGGTGGTCACTGCGGCGAACGCCGACGCCAGCCGTGTCCCAGAGTGGTCCGATCACTTGTTGGGGGGGGGTGATCGGCCAGACACGACGATCTGGAGAGAGGATCGAGGGTCCATTTTTCCCCAAGCCGTGCTTTCGCTTTGCGGTTATTACTTCCCCTCTGAGGAACCGGGCCGTGTGGCCGGTCTGGCGGCTATGTTGTCGCCGTCGCCGCCCCGTCGCCGCCTCGTCGCCGCCCGACGTGTGGACCGTGTGGCTGGTCTGGCGGCTATGTTGTCGCCGTCGCCGCCGCTGGATTGCACTACATAGGCTGCACGAGCAATAATTCACGCCTGCGCCGCGCATTCGAATCGCTTAGAACATAGATCGCACAGCGTAGATTGCACCACATACAGTGCACAACCACGCATATTGCACCACATAGAGTGCACAACATAAGTTGCACCACATAGATTCAAAGATTGCCGAACAGAGCTTGCATCACACTGATCGCACCACGTATGTTGCACCACATAGCGGCACAGCATATATTGCACATCACAGGCCGCATTACATAGATTGCACACCATCGATTGCACAACATATATTGCACCACATACAGTACTCTACACGTGTTGCATCACCTAGGTTGCTCCACATGTATAGCACCGCAAACTATTGCTAGAAGCACACTCTGTGGGGTCCGGTCTGGCCAGCATATTCTGAGCCAAAGAAAAACCAGCTGCATCCATAAACATAAGTTCTCGCGAAGAAAACGTCCGAGTTTGATGCGAGCCGAGGTTTCGAGGACCCGTGCCTCCTTGAAGAGCAAGTGTTGTGTCACCAACTCCGCCCATCGGTTGACTGCTTGCTCTTGAAACCTCGAGACCAGTACCAAGACAAGGAGGATAGGGGCAGAGAGTTAAAGAGGAGAGAGAGAGAGAGGAAGGGAAGGAGAGGAATGGAGGAAGGGAGGGAGAGGGAGAAGCTTGGAGGAGATTCTCGGGGCTTCGCTGGAACCAGGGCAGCGCGTTCAGGCTACCATGCGCCTCAAGGACGGCGGGATTTCCATTCCCTTAGCCTGGGCCGCCCCCTCATCAGCACATGAGGCGAGATGGGCCTTCGTCCTGAAGGAGGCCGCGCAGGCCGCGAGATTCCAGAGCTGGAGAACCTCCGAGGGCAGTGCCCCCATGACTCACCAGGCTCTCCCGGCATCTGACGCCGACCTCCGCGCCCAGTGGGCAATGAGCAGCAAATTCGATGGGCTGGGCTGCTTCCAACAATTCGTCCCCAACTTCTCCTCCTCCTCCTCCTCCTCCTCCTCCTCCTCCTCCTCCTCCTCCTCGCCTCCTCCTCCTCCTCCTCTCCTCCTCCTTCCCCCTCCTCCTCCTCCTCTTCTCTTCCCTCCCTCCTCCTCCTCCTCTCTCCTCCTCCTCCTTCCTCCTCCTCCTTCTCCTCCTCCTTTCTCCTCCTCTCCTCCTCCTCTCCTCCTCCTCCTCCTCCTCTCTCCTCCTCTCTCCTCCTCCTCCTCTCTCCTCCTTCTCCTCCTCCTCCTCCTCTTCCTCCTCCTCGTCGCTGCAAGGCAAGTTTGGGGGGAGGCGCGCTCCGCGTTCGCCGGAGTCAAGCTTCTCGGCGCCGCTCGGGGAGGACGACGGCTTGGCGCTCCAGGGCGCCAGCGGGAGGGGGGCCGGCGGCTTCGCCGTGCCTTGCGAGGAGGGCGACCCGGCCATACCCGACAAACACTTCCCCACCGCCAGGAAGCTTCGCCTCAGGTGCTACGTCTGCCCGCCGGGCGACGCGTGCCAGCAACGCCGCGGCGACGGTACCATCTGCGGCGCACCTCTGGACGGTGACGGGTGGCACGCGAGGTTCCGCGGAGTTGGCCAGTCCCGCACCGCCCGCCATGACCGCATGCGGGATTGGCACGCACAGCTGCACGCCATGGCCCAGAAGAAGCGGACCGGGTACCTCCCCAGAGGGGGTGGCCTTGCCCTCTGGTCTTCGAGACGTTGGGCCGCCCGTCCGACGAAGCCGCAGAGAGCACCCGAGCTCACGGGCCGATGAAGCGGGCCGGGGCGAGGTGCTCGGCAGGGCGTGGCGGCAGCTATCCCGACAGCTCCGAAGCGGCAGCGCAGAGATGGTGCTTAACGCCACAGGTCAGTGAGGCCCACGCCTCCCACCACCACGGCGACCACCACCACGGCGCCACCCAGGCCGACCGCCACCACGACAGCGACCCCAGCAGCAGCGGCGGGCAGGGCCGCCTTGACGGCGACGTTTGCGCCGGCCACGGCGGCATGGCGACGCGCCTCTTCGACAACCACGGCCTCGGCCACGGCCCCCGACGACGTGACCACCGGCCCCCGTCTCCCCCCTCCCCCTCCTTGCCCCTTGCTGGCCGCCCCTGCTTGCGTTTCGCCCCCCCCTTCCCGCCTCCTTCTCCTCCTCCTCCTCCTCCTCCTCCTCCTCCTTCTCCCCCTCCTCCTCCTCCTCCTCCCCCTCCTCCTCCGCAGCCGGGAGCGTTTGCGGATGTCCACGGCACTGGTGTAATTAATTCAGCGACGTCCTTACAATCTGGCGACGTTGACGCCTTCATGAATATATTAATACTTCGAAAACACAGCTAGGCCAGGAACGCCACTGGGCCAGTCCTCAAAAGAGCTGCGCCCAGACGGTGGCTGGCGAGGAACTTGGGACCAGAACCCCAACGCCCAGGGGCCACCTGCGCGACGGCGGTGGGGACCCACTCGGGTGCCTCCGGGTGCCCCCGGGTTTTGTCAGGCGGGGGAAAAGGGACAGGAAGGGAGAAAGGGAGGGGAGGAGGCAAGCTAGGTGCGCTCGCGTCATATCTGACGTCCTACCCCTCCCTCCCATCCCTTACCATGGCGCTGATTTTCTCTATCCGCGGACGCGTGTCGTAGCGGACCTGTGGCTCCGCGCGCGCGTGCGTAGTGGGTGGTGGTGCACGTGCGTGCGTGCGTGCGTGTGTGCGTGGTTGTCGTCGTGGTGGTGGTGGTGTTGTGTGTGGTGGTGGTGGTGGTGGTGGTGGTGGTGGTGGTGGTGGTGGTTGGTGGTGGTGGTGGTGGTGGTGGTGGTGATGGTGGTGGTGGTGGGCTGGTGGTGGTGGTGGTGGGGTGCTGGTGGTGTTGGTAGTTGTGTGGTGCTGGTGCTGGTGCTGGTTGTGGTGTGGTGGTGGTGGTGGTGGTGGTGGTGGTGGTGGTGGTGGTGGTGGTGGTGGTGGTGGCGGTGCGGCGCGGTGGTGGCGGGCGGATGGGCGCGCGAGAAAAAGGCCCGCGCTGGGGCGAGAACGCCATCCTGAACGACGGAGGCCAAACACCGATCCGAAAATGAGGCCCACGCTGCAGCGGGAGCACGATTCGGAACGATTCGGGAGCAGAAATGAGGCCGGCGCCTCAACGAGAGCAGCATTCTGGGAAAAAATGGCACCGGCGCCTCGGCGAGAGTCGTTTCCCGGGATTTCCCGGGCATCCTGTGTGTGTAAAAAAACAGTACGCGGAGGGTGCGCGGCCATCACCCGGACGCCATCAGGGGAAGAGGGAGAGTATTTTCATATTGAGTAATTGTGAAGGGGACAGGGATTAAAAAGAGGGAAGGGACAAGGGAGGGAAGGAGGAGTGGACCCCCACCCTCCCAGTCCGACCCCGTCCTGCTCCCCGCAGGCCGCGGCGGCCCCCGAGGGCGGCGGCACCGGCAAGGCGGCGCCCGCCGGGGCGGCTCCCGGCGGCCGCGTGGAGGACGCGAAGCACCGCCGCGCCGTCTTCGCATGCGCGCGGGCACCGCCGCGCCGCCGGATACATCGGAGAGGACCCAGATCCCCTCGAGTCATGAAAAAATCACGACGGGAGGTTTTTCCATATTTTCTGCCTCTGGGGGCCCCTACCGGGCCTCGGGACTGTCGAAAAACTACGCAGGATGAAAAACCCGCCTCGGGGAATGGGTCCAGACCTCTGGGGGTCGACGTCATGAAAAAATCATGACGTCGAGGATCTGGGGAAGGAGACACGGCGCAAGCACCAACTTCTGCAGCTCCGCCGCGCAGCTATATCCTGGATCTGCGCGGGGACCCCCCTCCAGCGGCGCCTCTGGCACCGCCCCTGGCCAGGGCCAGAGGCGCCGGGGGGGGGGGGGGCCGGCGCCGCTCCAGAAAAGCCATGCAGACCTCCGAACGTTTTGACGTAGTGCAGTTCCGCCTTCGATGTCTGCTGCCAATGCAGTCACAGGGGGGTCGTTCGGGGATGGTTCGTGCTCCATCCCCCTTGCTCCCTCTGCCTTTCACATCCCTCCCTCCCTCCAGGCGTTTCTTGGTTGCACTGTGCCCCTTGCCAGACTGGCCCCGAGGAGGCTGTCGGTGATTCCCCATCCAGAGAGCAGTCAGCTGTCAGACTCTACGGTGATGAATACTCCTTCGGCTTCAGGGGCCGCCCCTTCCTATGAGCTGCGAATGGCAGCTCTTGTGGAGAGAACTCGCGACAAAGAGGTCTCTCGCAGAGGCCAGTAACTTGAGTTTCGAGCTCCATAAGAAGTGCTGTGCGCTCTCCCCGCAAGGGCTTTCCATTCCATTCCATTCCTTCCTCCCTCCAATACTCCCTCCCGTCTTGGACCTCTCACCAGATCGGGTGCGAGCCCGCTCCAGCGGTGCTCGTTCGAGCGGTGTTCAGCGTCCTCATCCTCCTGGGGCGGGAACTTCAAGTTTGCCCGCCAGGGCAGGCGTCAAGAGCGCATACTCCCCCAAGGAGGGAACGTCCACGGGGAAACCCGCCTCAAGACGGAGGCGCAACGGGGTGCCATCCCCAGGCTGTGCACGGGCGCCCCGTCCCAGGGGACGCCCGCGCCCTGGGGGCTGCGGACGGCGGCGGCGCCGTGCGGGCCGACGCCGAGGGAGGCATCCAGCGCCGCTGGTGCAGGGAGGGGGAGGGGGAGGGGGAGGAGGAGGAGGAGGAGGAGGAGGAGGAGGAGGAGGAGGAGGAGGAGGAGGAGGAGGAGGAGGAGGAGGGGAGGATGAGGAGGGAGGGGAGGGGGAGGAGGAGGAGGAGGAGAGGAGGAGGAGGAGGGAGGAGGAGGAGGAGGAGGAGGAGGAGGAGGAGGCGGAGGCGGAGGCGGAGGAGGAGGAGGAGGCCTGCTTGCCCCCAGGGTGCCCCGGGTTTTTTGGGATGCGATGGCCTTGCTATGGAAAGTGGAGGCCCATGCCAAGAAGCGCCCTGCGTGCCTCCAGGGTGCCCCGGGTTTCTTGGGATCCTCGATGGCCTTGCTATGGAAAGCGTGCCGCTCTCCCACACCAAGGATCGGTTGACGTCCTCTGGGGTCTCAGGGGGTTGGGCTTCTTGTGGGAGGCTTCCTGTGGCCCGGCCTCCACTGCACTTGGCGGGCTCCCGTGGACCCCAGACCCCCGACGCCATGATTTTGTTCATGACGTCGACCCCCCGAGGTCTGGACCCATTCCCCGAGACGGGTTTTCATCCTGCGTCATGTTTTGAGAGTCCCGAGGCCTGGTAGGGGACCCCAGAGGCCGAAAGTGTGGAAACACCTCCCGTCGTGATTTTTTCATGACTCGATGGGTCTGGGACGCTTGACTCTGGCGGCCGCCACGGCCACATGGCCGCTCCAACACCTGATCCGGCTGGCGCCCGACCGGGCGCGCGGCTTCGACGGCGGCCCCACCATCGGAGGCGGCCGACAGCCCGCTTGGTCTCGGCGGGGGGGGGCTCTCCGAGCTCAGCGCGGCGATCTTCGGGGCCACCGCCTGGCAGCTGCGCACCCGGCGGGCAAGGCAGCCGCGGCGGCCGCGGGCCGGCTGGCGGGCCAGGCAGGCGGGCCAGGCAGGCGGGCGGCGGGTGCTGGGCGCTTGGCGAGGAGGCGGATCTCCACCAGGTCGTCCTGGAGCTCCACACCGTGCTCGCGCGGCTCGCGGTGGACAGCGCGTCGGGGGGCGAAGAGAAGACCTCTCGATTGCAGGGAGAGGGGGGGAGAGAGGGAGAGAGGAAGGAGGCAGGAGGGAGGGGGGAGGAGGGCGGGAGGGAAGGAGTGAGGGAGGGAAGGGAGGAAGGAAGGGAACGAGGGAGGAAGGGAGGGAGGGAAGGAGCGAGGGAGGAGGAGGAGGAGGAGGAGGGGGAGGAGGAGGAGGAGGAGGAGGAGGAGGAGGAGCAGGAGGAGGAGGAGGAGGACGGGTGGATTATGTGTCGGACAACGCTGTACCTGTCAGCCCCGGGGTCCCGTCGGACCGGGCAACTCCACGGCCCGGGGTAGCACCGCCCACTGGGCCTTCGGCCCCCGCCCCTTGGGGCACACCGGCGTCGCCGCTGCCGCAGGGGGCGCCTTTCGCGGGGGAGTGCGGCGGCCCCGGATGCAGGAGGGAAGGGGCAAGGCATGGACGGCCTGGCTCGAGGCCTCCCAGATGGGGTGGGAGCAGGGAGGGTCGGAGGATCGCGCCGCATCGCCGATGCGTCGCCGATGCGGCTCGATGTGCAGCCCGATGCATCGCCGACGTCGCCGATGCAGCGTAGATGCATCGCCGACGTCGACGCTGCATCGCCAGTGCATCGCCGATGCATCGCCGATGCATCGGCGATGCGGCGCGACCCTCCGACTCCATCTACTCCGACCCCATCTAGGAGGGGCCTCTACCGGCAGGCGGGGGGCGCGGGGCGACAACGGAGGGGTGCGGCGTGAGGTCGGGGCGGGGCACAGCGGGGGGGATCTCCACCGGGTCGTCCTGGAGCTCTACGCCGTGCTCGCGCGGCTTGCGGCGGACAACGTGGTGAGGAGGGAAGAGGAGCCCCTTTGATCGCAGGAAGCGGGGTGGGGAAAGGAGGGGGAGGAGGAAAGGAGCGAGGGAGCGAGGGAGGCAGGAGCGAGGAGGAGGAGGAAGGAGAAAGGAAGAAAGGAAGGAAAGAAGGAAGGAAACAAGGAAGGAAGGAAGGAAGGAGGAGGAGGAGGAGGAGGAAGAGGAGAAGAAAAAGGAGGCGGAGGGAGGAGGAGGAGGAGGAAGAGGAGGAGGAGGAGGAGGAGGAGGAGGAGGGAGGACGAAAAAGGAGGAGGGAGTAGGGAGCAGGGAGGAGGGAGGATGATGACGGAGACCGAAGGAGGGAAGAGGGAGGAGGGGAGAGGGGGGAGGGGGAAGGGGGAGGGGGGAGGGGGGAAGGGGGGAGGGACAAGCTAGCTGCGCTAGCGTCACATGTGATGTCATACCCCGCCCTCCCATCCCTTACCATGGCGTGGATATCTCATCTATTCGCACGGGCGGATGTCGAGCAGGGGAATGATCCCAAGAGGGTACGCGATGGATGGAAAAGCATGGCGTAGAAGAGCACGGCAGAGCATAGCATGTGATAGCATGGCGGCATTGCGTAGCGAAGCATCGCATCACAAAGCATAACATCGCAAATAATGGTATCGCACATCGGCGCACGGACGGAAATGAGACCCGCTCTGCAGCGGGAACACGGCGTAGAAGGACTGCAGGGCGAGAACGAGGCCAAGACCGAAAACGGGAATGAGGCCACCGCTGCAGCGGGAGCACACCTCGGAAGGACCGAAGCATTGGAGCGAGGCCAGCGTTGCAGTGGCAGCGCGAGCTGGAAGGACCGAACACGCCAGTGTTGCTGCGAGAACACGATTTGGAACCACCAGAGGCGCGGGAACGAGGCCACCGCCGCAGCAGGAGCGCGACCTTGAATGACCGAAGCGCGGAAATGAGGGCGGCGCTGCAGCGGGAGCACCACTTAGAGGAACCTGAAACGACCAGATTGAACGGAGCACATAGGAAGAACACACTAATGACATCTTGTGTGTAAACACAGTGCGCCGAGTCGGCGGGACACTCTCTGGACAGAGCCAACGGAGCGAGAAGAGTAGTACTCAGATTATGTAGTTGTGGAGGAGGGAGGAGGGAGTGAGGGAGGAAGGAGAGGATGAATGAGAGAGAGGTAGGAGAGGGAGGAGGAGGAGGAGGAGGAGAAG